AAAAAAAATAAAGCAAATATACACACAAAATATATATATATATATATATATGTTTTTACTTGGCTTCATGCGTCAGATCCCAAAGCCACTTTTCTAAGGCTTTTTTATTCCTTTTCGCACGTCTTTTTGTCTCCCCTCCTTGACGTGGTCAACAATAAACAAAAACAAACGCAAGCCGCCGCCTTTTCCCGGCGCCAAGTTTTCCATTGCGTCATCTCTGACGTCTCGGATCCTCGCGGCGACGGGCAGAGAAGGCAGCCGCCTTTTCTTCGCGTTTTTAATGTTTTCTCCCTTTTAGCGCATAGTGTAGAAGCCATTGTGGAAAGAGAGACGACCACTGTCCCGTTCTCCTTTCGCACGATGAAAAAGTTACTTTGCGATGCGGTAAACTGCGCTAAACCACCAAATGGAACCAACGCCTCTTGAATATCCTCGGGTATGGACGAAGCCCATTTGTTTATTGGCATGCATGGCTTCCCACTCGGGAAAAGCTCCAGGAGCCTTGCGACCAACTGTGGCTCGTTTAATGAGTTGCGGTAGCCACCCTGTGAAAAGTTCTGCGGGGGTCTTCCCCTGGGCGGGCGATCATCGCGAGGACCACCGAATCGCTGCTGTTGCTCACGCTGTGGGTACCGCCCGCCGCCGCTACCTGATTGCGACCGCACTAGCGCAGCAATATTAATCAACCTATGTAATCGAAGGGATCGCATTGGGGCCTCCTTTCTTCCTTGACTTTGTTTGCAAATGAGCGCGCAAGCAAAGCAAACAAAGCATTTCCCAGAAAGTTCCGCCAGAGGAAAACATTTTCAGAAACAAACACCGCCAACACAACGAGACAGTCACGCCGGGTGGTGTGCCCAGCTATAGATCTCCAGAGCTACACAAAGCAGAAGATGTACTATGTCCGCCTCAAATGGAGAACTATGTAATTGATTGGAGAAACCGCACAATCCGTGTTCCATGAACTTCGGTGACGCCCAAATCCCTGACAATTCTGTCAGCATTCGAGGTCGTCACCCCTCCCCCAGGCATAATAGATATGCGATTTTTAGCATATGCGACTAGCTCTGTCAGGCGATGCATATTTTGTTCAATACTGGTACCTGCAGGTCCTCCATGGGTTAGAATGCGATGAAATCCGTACGTCGTCAAAACATCAATGGCTTGGAATTGCTTTTCAGCGGGGATTTCATCAAAAGCCATGTGGAAAGTAAGAGACAGTCCTTCAGCAGCAGACACCAAGATGCCAATCCGAGGGTCTACATTACCAAGGGCATCAATGGCCCCAACAACAACACCATCCGCCCCCGAGCACTTCGCCAGTAGGACACTTTCCCGCATTACCTGAAATTCCTCATCACTATAATAGAAATTGCCTCCTCTACAGCGTATGATGACCATTACCAAAACATTTCTGGCGTGGCAATACTCCACTGTCTTGTGGATCGTCTCAGCGGACGGGGTAACACCACCGACATCCAAGCGGGCACAAAGCTCAACACGCTGCGCCCCTGCAGCTACGGCGTCTGGGATCCGCTCATAACCCTCTGCACAGAACTCCTTTAAAACCATTGTTGGCCTCCTTTCGCACAAGACTAGCCAACGACAATATTTCGAACCAAAACGATTAAAAGAAAAAAAAAGAACGCAACTAAAATAATATACATATACATATACATATATATATATGCGCAAAAAAAAAACCTCAACCCCTCTCTACGCCTCTACCAAGAGCAATAGTAGTACTATTAAATATGATCCTTGTTAGTAACCGGAGCGTCAAGACATGAACTTATTCTGTCGCTTGTTACTCAGAAGCCGTAGTTGCCACTACATTTTATTAGCATACCAACCTTTTTGTTCCTCGTTATATAATTCCTTGAAAACGTTTGCGTTGCTTTGCTTTGGAAGTGCAGCACTTGCCGTGGGAGGAGTTCCACTCCATGTGGTGTGCGGCACCTCATTTGTAACTGGAGCCATTGTCGCGTATTGTACGGATGGGGCAGCTTCCCAAGTCGCAGGAGCGCCTGTTGACCACCCTTCATCAAGCAGGGCGTTTGAAGTGGCGTGGCGATCTCCATCTTTCTTGTCGCCAACATTTGCATCGGTTTGAGGACTGGACACGGGAAAATGCTGATTACCCTGTAAAGGATCAGATGAAGCAGAAGTAATTTGCGGTCCTGATGCGGGCACACCCACAAAGAGATCGTCCATAGACAATGGGGCCTGTTGCTTTGCCAGCAGCAGCAGATGGCAACGAACCCACCTCGTTACCATGCGATGGTCGCGTGGTCACTGCAGGGGGTAGTGACGGTGGTGGTTTTTCAACCATTTCCTTCACTGGAGTCTTTATTTCATTCCCGGATATTCCCAAACTCCCCAACGTTTCAGTCACGTCTTCCATTGGAATGCTGCTCAGGCGAACGTCATCCTCCAAGTGCTCCAGGAAGGAATACGGCAGCGGCTTTAGCCGTGGTGGGGGTTGCACGAAGACCCTCACTGAGTCGAGCATGGCGTCAAACAACAAACGCAGTCTTTCCACAACCGTGCTATACTGCCTGTAAAGCTCCAGCCAGACTTTTTTTAAGGCAAGGGAAAAGTCATTGAAGCCGTCAAGCACAAAAATCACTCGATTAGAAAGCAGTTGATATAAAGTTTTCCCATCCTCCACAAGCATTTGGTATGCTTCCAGCGTACAAAAGTTGTCTACTATGACTTCTCGGTATTCTACCTCAACGAGGGTGGCCATTTGACCCAACAAAGCCACGAAGAACGGGGTTAGGGAATCCACATCCATCGAACGCAACGCCGAGCTGAATTCCACACTTTCCAAACGATTTTCAACGCCAATCACCTTTTGCACAGTCGCACGCTCTTCAAGATAGTTTAAGTATTGTCGAATGAAGAAGGCCTGGGCAGCACCTTCTGCAGTTTCAGAGAGGTCCTTCAGGTTGCGAAGGGAAAATATACTTGGATGCTGCTGTATACAATGATTGATCTCGCTCGATCCATCAGTCATTAAACGGTGAAATGTCACCATGGTTTTCAGCACCACGACCCAATTGTGCGTGTGCATTCTTTTTTCAAGCTCTGACACAATATACCCACAGATGCTTTTCCCATCACGCGTATTGCTTTTATAATGCCCGTATGTCGTCGCCAAGAGCCTTTGCATGTGCTTCTCCTTTGGGGCCTTCAACATATGGCTTGTCACCTTCATAATTGCCCGATCCAACTCATCTCCCGTCACTCGCGACAAGCCAATAATGGCCTTTTCCTTGAGGTATCCTGCACCTCTCTTCAATTCATTAGAATCCCTCTCGTTCATGGCTCCAGCTCCTATCCAGCACAAGACACACACACAAAAAAAAAAAGAGAGAAAGAGAGAAAGAGATAAAGCGCGTGTGCATGTGTGTGGATGCTCT